ACAGACAGACAGACAGACAGACAGACAGACAGACAGACAGACAGACAGACAGACAGACAGACAGACAGACAGACAGACAGACAGACAGACAGACAGACAGACAGACAGACAGACAGACAGACAGACAGACAGACAGACAGACAGACAGACAGACAGACAGAAAGAAAGACAGACACATGAATAGATACAACTACTAGATCCATGCCAAACAGGTGTTCCCGACCACTAAGCATGAGCTGCGTCGTCAATAGCGCCGTTTCCGAACCGCACAACTGTAAGCACCTGTAAACGCCCAATATCGATTCCCTCACGGAGAAGAGTTCTACAATGGTGAGTGTGCCGTGCTTCAACCAAAACTTGCAGATGGAATAATACAACGATTGATGTTGGTTCTTGCCGTCGTGATGGGCCACCACCAAAAGAGAAACGCGAAACCTGTGGAGACATACTGAGAGACTCGCGAATGCTCCAGCTTCTCTTCATCAACGGCTTCATACAGTAGGATGTTAACTTTATGTGATGTCAAATCAGTAGCAGTATACGTTCAAAGAGTCACCTCATAATTTCTTCGCCGTTTGATCCAAGCTCTTGGATATCACTGCTTCACATATTTTAAAATATATAACTAGTGAATCATTTTAGCTGTGATTGAATGTCTGCAGGATCGTGTCACTCAGCCTTAAAATCATTTTGAAAAGAAGAGTGCTAGAAAGCAGACTAGAGTACGCTGTTAACATGAGTTCAGAAAATAGCATAGCGGTAAAAATTGTCTGTCCGACATGTAGACTCCAATTTCCTATGAAGTTTCACCGCAAGATGTTATCAAACGACCTTAGCAAAAGGCAGGTTTTGCCTTGCGCTTTCATTTTGAAGGCGTCGCAACGAAGCTTTGACGTTTGTCTTTTCGCTGACCCTGGAAGTGTGGGGTATCGGTGTCAAGTTCACAGCACCCCGTATCAGATAAACAACCATAAGGACCGAGTATGAAAAGGATGGATTGTTGTTGTCAGTGCCAGCAAGTCGTTAAAGCTAGGTTTTGCCGCTTGCGAATTCATTAGAACACGCATCAACTACACAATACCGGTGAATATGCTTGATAGTCAGTTATACCATCATGGGAAACCAACAGAACATAACGGTAGTCAAATCTTGCTTTGAGCTGCTCCGAGTTTAGAGCATGCAAGGCACAAACTCCTTTTTTCATAAATCTTAGGACTCTATGGACACGTGTCATTGCTGTCACCTTGTTACAGCGAGAGCGCTCCAACGAATGACGATAGTCTCTCCAGATTCCTCTTCAACAGCGACAGAAAAGCGTAGAGATTGAGGATTGTGGGACGAGTGGTGTTTTAATAATTTGCTGCTAGAGATGTTACTCCCGATTGGAGTGCGTGGTGTCCACCTGATTTGAGGTTGCTTTAAATGGCCTCTATTATGAAAGTACCTTTGTCCAGCCTTGGACGCTAGAAAGACCCTCATAGCTGCTCATAAAACATAGATCAATGAAATAAAAAAAATAAAATCTGGTGTAAAAATAACGTGGTAGCCAAAGAATGCATCGTGCAAGTGAGCTGGCTAATTGTTCAGTCAGTACCAGCAAGTCGTTTAAGCGTAGACAGTGACTCTGTTGTTCAGGTAGACATAGTGTGTGCTACTTCACACGACTTGTTTTTTGCCTTCAAGATTTTCCCAGGAATTTTTGCAGCAATAAATGTCAAGTGATTGGCTAATCATAGTACAACCTAATATTATAGTTGGCATCAAACGTCCATACAACTCTGCATTTCCACCCTAAAAAAAGAATACCAGCTAAAGCAAATGCATTTTCTGAACATTGAACAGAGCTCATACTTGAACTCCAGATTCGCCATTCGCTTTTGTATATATTCTAATTTCGTGGCTTCACGTTTTCATGACTTTATTTGGCTAATGGCTTCCACATAATCTGAAATAAGTGGAATTTATAGTCTCGTGCGCAGCTGGGAAGTAAAACCTTAAGCTGAATGCTATCCAAAACAGATTTTGGAGAGAGCTCTGCTCATAGCGTTGAATTCACAAGCAAGGCGGTGTGCCGCTTTGTGGATTGAATTCTGTGGAAGTCTCCTGCGGAGCCCACTTATCCGGCTTTTGGATGCAAAAGAATTAGCCAGCCAAAACCTCCAATTTGATCGTAGCTGATTGTTTGTTGTGGTTAAGAGTGAATCAGCAGTCCCGGCAGGATTTTTACCTTCCTCACTAATGGGAGGGAATAGCAGCCGATTGTTGACCACGCCCACTTTGAAACTGTTCAGCTCCCTTTCTAGCGGCTTTCCAAGGTGAGTTTTTTGTTCAGTCACGCTTTTTATGATCTTGACTAGGCCTAGCGCATCGTTCCACACCATTAGTGACGAAGGTAAAAGCCCTGCTGGGACTGCCGCTCTCGTGAAGACGTGCCATACGCCATATGTATTGGATCGCTAACAGCTGTTATTCAAAAATTATACGACGAAGGATGTCATGTGGACTAGGGTTGAATTCTGTAGGGTACGTTCAAAGAGAAATGCAGGCTTATAGGCGGATATCTCGAATAGGAAATGTGACAATTATTACAAAGGAGATGGTTTTGCGTTGCTGCACTTGGTATCCTGTTTCGACCTCACTGTTTGAATAGGGGCCCACAATTACTTTTCAAAGTCCAAATTTACAGCCCATCCTGTATGTAAAGCAAAGCTGTTTGTCCTAATACATGAACAGAAAACCCAGTATACGTTTACGGCGGTGATATTATTCTTATGCTGTATTTCGGAAGTAGAAATATGCCATTGCTCAAGCCGCCATTAAAAGGACGAATTTACGATGGAAAAGCAACCCATTCCAAATTGAGGTAGAGATGGTGAGTAGTACCAGAAAGAAAGCGAAACCACGAAAAACGGCCCAGAACCGGAGAAATGGGACCCCTTCCTTGTCCGTTGATTTGAGCATTGATGGGACTCTCATCGCTTTGCCCTCTTCAACCCTACGCTCTCTCAGCTATCTAATCACTCGCCACCTATTGTACTACGGCGAGTGATCAGACGATCGGTGGGCGGAGATCGCCGAACTCGCCAACTTTGAGCCATGCTAGATCTCAGAGGTCAAATCTTTCGATGCCGATTGCGTGTCTGTCCGCACCCTCAAGAGATTCACCGCTCTCCCCACTAGGCGATTTCTCCCTTCTTCGACCTTCGTTCTTTCCGTGCAATCCTCCTTTAAAATTTTGGAATTTTGGCGTAATGAGAACGTCAGAACCAAATGGTATTTTGCGACTCCACTACTGAAACGTGTTTCATGTTTTGCCTGTAACCGTGTCTTCTATTGTTTTTAAGGTTCGTAATGGCATTCTACTACTTCGGGCTCTCCTTTCTCTCTGTTGACTTGAGCGATGACCGTTTCACGGCTTATATGCTGTCGGCGTTTGTTGAATTGCCACAGGATAGAACCAACGTGAACTGTAATTGCAGATCTCTTTGACAAAAGATTCGTTAACATGAAAACGTAGATAAGAATCAGATTTAAAAAAAACACAACTTTATCGACGGGCTTTGAGTTGAAATTAATATATTGCGTAATAAAGTCCATTCACAAGTGTCCTCTCTCTACGTCGTCCTTTCGGACTCGTTCTATGAGAGTAGAGCTTTCATCACATTCCAATGGACGGAAATATCTGCAGTTCAGTGCAGCTCAGCAAATCTCTTCCATAGGCGCCATAGAATTATAAATATACCAGCCGCTATCACTTTCTGGTCCCCATCAAATATGTTCCCGTCCCACCCCCTATATCATATCTGCAAAACAACGCCTCAATGCTGCTGGCCTTGCGCTGTCAATGTCGTGACATTTTCCTTCCAACGCTTCTTATCAGCCCCTATCAGCTGTTATCACTTTCTGGTCCCACCAAGTATGTTCGCGTCCCACCCGCTACATCATATTCGGAAGACAACGCCTCACTGCTACTGGGTCGCGCGCCATGCATTTCGTGACTTCCGCGTTCTAACGTCCCTTATCAGATCTTATCAGTAGTTATCACTTTCTGTCCCCCACCAAATATGTTCCCGTCCCACCCCTATATCATATCCTGAAATCAACTCAGGTGACTGGTGGTACTTGCGCTATGAATTTCCTGACCACAAACACACACTTAGCGAATTATATGTAGGTAGGATCAGGTGGATAAACAATAACGCAATTATTTGCTCCATTAAATGGCTTTCTGAATCATCTTATCAACTCTTATTCACCATATCTTAGGTGGACTTGTGGTGTTACCCTTGATGCTGTACGCTGGAAGACGGATATTATGCCTGGTTTCGATGGTTCTGCAGGGTTTATTTGTCATGGTGGCTCCATTCCTGAAAGGTAGGTCTAGATAAGCCTGAACACGGTATGAGTTTCTTCGTACATGACAACTGCTGAAGACTCCCTTCTATTGTGGTAAAATTCTCCACTACGCAAGGATAAAAATGCACTAAGAACCAGACTAACAATTCACTTTAATGTGCGAATATGGTACTGTTACTATCTCTACTGCTGAATCATTGCCAAAGAATGGATAACTTACGTGTGCAGTTTACTCCAGAGATGATGTAGCAGTAAGAAGAGCACTTTCCATGTGCGGTACAGGGGTCAAATCCCTTATAAGATTCTACCTAAGTCAACGAAGCTCGTTTGGTGTTGGTTAACTGCTTTAATATTACCGAGCTCACTCGCATAGGGTGACAAAAATACTGACTCGTACACTGCCTCTTCCCCTCCCCCCTCACCTCACTATTTACAGTATTATATGCATACGTCATGTCGCTTCTGAGTGACTACGACTCCAATGGAAGAGGAATGCGCGGCGCATCCCAAAGAGGGATTAAAACGCCAACGCTCGAAACCTCTCCACTATTTTCTCACTGTTAAACAAAAGTAGTGGATATTTCAGATTCGCATTGGTCAATGGTTACCTCTTTTCTAGTCGGAAAGCTCATAAACAGGTGAAGCCATTCTTCTACTCTGAAAAAGTATGCACTTCCGCGTCAAAGAGTTAATACCGGCAATACTCAGAGGTCGATATTCGGTAAAATTCGCTATACTCTCCCTCAACCTCAAAAATAAGAGCATGATGATCTTTTCATGAACTTCAGCGAGTATTTTTTAGGAGCTCATATCGTCTCGCTCTGCCTTGTAACAAAATGTTGCCATTCGATAATGGGAACTTTCGTTGTGGGATCTGAAGCTTGACAGAGATGAATCTTTATGTAAAATAGGGGAAGCTCATTCGGGTGCTGCTGCCGTGGCAGTGAACTAACACGGAGAAAATGCAAAATTAAGTGTGCCGTTTTTGATTACCACCGTAGTAATTTGGTGGAGTCCATACCCAAACTTCACTCGCAGGCAATGCACTGCTTGTGGGTTGCACATCGCCTGAACTTTATGGAATCAAATGTCACTTATCCCAACCAAGCCCCTCTTTTTCCTAATCGGACGTATGATGCATAACTTGCAAGGGAACATGAATATAGCGCGTTTCACAAGTTTGGGCGCACCCTAAAAACCTGTACATGCACATGTACGTAAAAACTAACTAATGGCGGAATTCAATATTAGAAGGCAGCCAATTAGAATCAAGGCAGAGGTGATCAATGATAAAGGGTGAAGAAAAAGCAATGATAAGCGATCCTGACTCGAGAAATGTGAACTCTCTTCGCTCGCTGACCTCCACACTGGTGCTGAGCTCACGCTCTCTCCGCCTAACGTGAGGAGACCAGCGGCGAGTGGTTAGGCAGTCGGTAGGCGTACGATAGCACCGCTGAAGGGCTGCGCTAAACCGCCGGAAGCGTATACTTCGCAGCAACTTGCGTGTCGGTCCGCACGCTTAGGGGATCCGCCTGTCACTCTTCTAATAAGTTTCCCCTTCTTCGACTTTTGACCTTATCGCGGAATCCTTTCATTGATCACAAAAGTACATGCAAGACCTTTTACGATTCTGAGTTAGAATTGAGGAAAAAACCGTTATAAAGCGGCACACCTGTAATAGCGTCTTACTCACCATATTTTCAGTGTAACCTATGCAGTACATCCTATCTACATATCGGAAATGACGCCAACATCTGTAAGATCCTTGTCGTATTCGATTATCAACATACCACAAAGTATAGGAATCATTGTGGCACCATATCTTCGCCATATTGTACGTAGCTGCACTTATCCACTTAACTAGAATAGAACTTTTCATATATGTAGATTTGCAGAGCCTTGGTCCGGAATACGCGAAATTCGTCGTCGTTGGACTGTTATGCATTATCGCCGGAGTTCTCTGCGTTTTTCTACCCGAAACGAAAGATCGCCCAATGCCCCCGGAAATCAAAAGTCTGACCGCAACAGATGATCATACCGTTGACAACAGAGACAGAGAAGAGCTGCTAAGGTTGGAAATATCGGTAGCACATTTCATTTTTCAGTGAACTGTAAGAAAACCCAACTTCATTCTGAAAATGTTGACGCAGAAGCTTCTCCTTTGAAGGAACGGGTGAAATTATGTGAACAAACCGCCCCTTCCGTCGAATTTATGGGTGGGTGCACAACCATAGAGGTATAGCCTGCTCATGACTCAAAAGTGAGCCGCAATAACGCTCGCACACTATTTTGAGCTATCGCCGCCTAGTCTGAGCTATGACCGCCCACGCATTTCATTCGAATTACATCTTAGCATCATGCACGGCTCATCCATTGTAAAATCAAAACGTGATAGAGGAAATTAGAAAACACGTTCGCAAAACTCGTCCGGACACACATGCAAGGTTCGTTTGCTGGTGTGAAGGAGGAAGACGTCAATTTTTTGAGTCTGCTAGTGGGATTCCTCATTTTCTTCACTTGAATTACAATTTTCATCTCTGCTGTCATCTTCCAAGCTCTACAAACCCCATCTCGATCCTAGCCATAGTCTTCAAGACACCCCACCTAAGAAGCAAGCGGTGCTCTGATTCGGTTTTCGACCAGTGGAGGGCTAAGCACAAAGAAAGTGCTCCCACCGTTTCCTATTCAAATGAGTATATTTGGGGTTATTGGTTAGACTTCAGTCAACTTTTGATCATGATCGCATCCAATTCGAACTTCTTAACGATAGAGGACCGAATCATTCAGAGAACAAGAATTGGATGACAGCGAGAAAAACTCATCTGAGGAAGATGTAATGCTTCATCAAAAGGATTGATTTGTAACGATATATTACGTTCGAATTTCATTTGCAACACCATACTTACAATTGTGCTTAATAAATATAAACGAGAATTCTTCTCTCAGAAAAGGCATGACCACCTAGCGTCAATAAACAAAATAGAGTGGTAGGTCAATAAATGAATGGTTCTAAATATAGGCATTTCCAGCACCCAAAACCTTTCGCCTTCTCGAGAGCACACTATACAGTTTCACTTCTCTTTTTTGTAAAACGGTGAATGTGCCTAACTTGACTGCCCTCCCATATAGATGGTAATTATTTGGACTTGGACAAAAACAGAAAAGGCGGCAAGATGGAACACCGAGTAGTTAGTGTAGATGTAGATTGAGTAGATGGGCCGCTCCAAGAACGTTAATGTGCAACCGTCCACTCATCATGGAGATGATGTCCGATACGAATTGAAATGGTTAAAGGCCCGTCCCAGGACCAAATTTTTCTAAAATTCATTCCGTGGACTGG